CCAGAGCTCGGCAAGCAGTAAGTGCTGGGGAGATGCTCTGAGAGCCCGCAGTGGCGCCTCGTTGCCGGGAGCACAAAACTCAGACTCCTGAGCTTGGCATTCGGGGCGCTGCTCTGCCCCCATCTCCCTACTGTTTGTCATCCTCTGCACATCCCAGGCTGTGGTGGCAGTCCCCATGTCGTCACGCCTCCCGGACTGGTGTCCAAAGGACCCTCCTCATCTTCGCTGTTTCTTAACTTCTTTCTTGTGCTTCTAGACCAACCCCAAAGTCACAGAGCGGTGGGGCCCCTGCAGATCTGCAGCCCATTGCTCACAGTGCAGGGTAGGGCCTGTCTTCTGCTACCTGCCGTTGGTCTTCGTGTCCCTCTCCCCTCTGCTCTCTGAGGACAGGGACAATGGCTGACTCGCCTCTGCATGGAGTAGACTCTTCCTGAAGGCTTGCATTCAGTTAGTGATGATGGGAAATAGCAGGTGATGTTTGAGGGCCTGGTTGATTCAGTTTCCCAGCTAGGCAATGGCATCCCTTGTTTTTATTGCATATCAGTACGCACGATTCACTCTGCTCCCAGTCAAAGGGAAATACGGGTGTGTGTATTTCCCAGGATATATGTGTGTGCCTGGCAGGGGCCTGGGGGGAGGGGGGGTGTCTGTGTGTCCATGTCAGGTTGTCTACTATCATTTCTTAGGACAGACCATTCTATACTCAGATATTATATTCTCCTTTTTTGATGTTAAGTTACCCCTTGTTTATGAAATTATGGCAGTGGTAGGTAATACTAGATCATAGTGGCTTTTTTTCTCTTTTTAAAATATTCTTTTTTAAAAAAGATTTTATTTATTTATTTGAGAGAGAGAGTGAGAGAGAGAGCACAAGCTGGGTGAAGGGCAGAGGGAGAAGCAGACTCCCCACTGAGCAGGGAGCCCGATGCGGGGCTCGAACCTGGGACTCCAGGATCATGACCTGAGCCTAAGGCAGATGCTTAACCAACTGAGCCACCCAGGCTCCACTCTTTTTTAAAATATTCTTAGTTGGCAAGTAAAAAACTGGGAAATGAAGAGCAGTAAAGTTTAACTTTTTTTCAGTAAAGAACAGTAAAAAGCATTCTTCAAAACACCAAGTAGGCAAGCAAAGCTGTTTCGAGAGCATGGTATGTGATGGAAGGCATCTAAGTCACAGGCCGTCACCAGTAACAGGTCCACCTAGAGGCAGCGGGGCAGGTGTATGTGTGTGGGGGGGGTGGGGGGAGTGTTGAGGAGAGGCCCATTGTGTGGACACTTGACACATGCTGTCTAATTTAATCTCCAAAGCCCCTTGCGCTAGCTGGTGTTATCTCTGTCACAGCGGAGGCTCAGAGAGGTTAAATCATTTGCCCAAAGTGTCCCAGACAGTGAAACCTGAATTTCCCAAGCCTCGTGGTCTGGGTGTGCAATGAGGAGGTCACATTAGCATCAATCCTGAGTAGGAAGCCACAGGGCCACGGCACCCACCGCCCCCCACCCCCATCTCCCTATAGCAGTTGGGGGAAGCTAGGAAGGCTTCTCCTAAGTATGCATGGACAGCCCTGTCATAGGGGCCTGCTTGGGGCCTTCACAAATGTCTAGTGGGGGCAGCAATGTGTCCCAGAGGACAGGCCTCAGCAGGCCGCTGCTGCCCGCATGCCTTCTCACAGAGGACTCCAGAGCAGCCATATCAAGGCCAACTTATGACTTCCCTGTACCCAAGCATTGCTGCCCTCATGGGCCCTTTCCTCCATAAAACACACAAATCACATTTTACAACTATGTTGATTTAGATTAATACATTATTGTGTATGAAAACATGTTCCTGAACCTAAGAGTTCTTTTTTTATCTTCTGATTTTAAAAGAAATTAAAACATTTGCATAGGCTCCTAAAAGAATGATGAGCCACAGGCTCCATGCTTGCTGAGCTCAGTGGACAAGGAGGCCCTTTGTAAGACCCTGCCAGAGCGGGAGTCCCCTCACCACTTCCCACCCCTGTTTCATGGATTGGCCCATGGACCTCAAAGCATACTGCCTGCTTCTGTATCTCACAAAAACCCTAGTGCCCAGGTCCCTTCGGCCTCTATCTGTTTAGCTTTTCTACTCTTGTTATAGGCATCAGAACAGTTCCCAAGGTAGAGCTAGAAAAATTCTTCTTCTGCCCCAGACACCTGCACACATCATTTAACCCACAAAGCTTTTTTCCCACATTATATTCGATGAGATCATATCAAGACTTGTATCAAGTCAAATAAATAGACAGCCCAGGCCTCCGTCACAGCCCCAGTCCATCACACACAGCCAGACGTGGGGTCTGTTTTGGCCCAGCTGAGTCAGGCAGACACAGGGGTGTGCCTGGGTACAGCCGGGGCTGGAATCAGTCCTCTGGCATCCAGAGTGTTCCCGCTCTGGGAAGCCAGGCATTTCACGCGCTCCCGCTGTTCACATGTTGGCAAGCTTGGGATATTCTGGTAAGGAGCATTCCTGTCTATTCCAGCTTGAAATGAGTCTGCATTTCTTTGTCCAACACAAAGCTTTGAAATGAATGATGACGCTGGAAAAAAAAGTCTCAGGAGAGTTTGCAAGGATTGCTAATAAGCAAGTATATCTAGCGTTTAGGATAGAAATGGCCTTTTCTTTAGAACTCTATAGAACTCAGAATCTGCCACAGGCAATACCTTGCATTCTGCATGTCTTTGGCAAACCGTTTATAAGGAAGAGTAAGGAAGAGGAATTTGTTCTGGGAACATGTTTTATATGAAGAGGGAGTGTATGGGCACAGGATGGAGAAAGGCTTTAAGGCTAAAGTTTGTGAGCAGTGAGAAAAAAAGGAAAGAAGTCTTGCTGCTCTCTGCAGTCCCTAGAGAGAAAAGAACGAGACAGCTGGGGTCTATGACTTGGGTACTGCCCTGCTCTTCTGCTTTCTTGGACCCACTGAAATGGCCACCATGGCAGGACGCCAGCCTCGGAGTGGTACATAACCTTCTGAAAGGTCTGCCTTGGTCTGGCTTTTGCTTACAGGCAGGCAGGAAACATGAGTCTTTGTTGAAGTTGCTTATTTTGATGCCTCTTGGTGAGTGACCGAGGAAACCGGAGTGCTTCTCGTCACCTTCTATACTCCGAGTGTGGGCTGTTTGGGCCCGCCCCAGAGGTAGGGAGGTCAGCATTATGGATTTGACATTCCACGTGGGGCTGGGACACAGACTGAACCCTAGAAGTGGACACTCGGGCTCTCAGCAGCAACCATCAGTGGTTGGGAGACCGAGACGGGTGGGTGTCTCAGAGCAAACAGATCCCATGGTGGCTCAACCACCGAAACCATGCTCTAGCTTCTCCAAGTCATGTCGGCACACACCAAGCATTGAAAAAGGGAATCGTGCCGGTGTCTGGCGCTTAATAAAATTTGTCATTTAATTTGTATGTCTTTGATCACTAGAAGGTTGAACTTGTTACTGCATGGCCATTTCCATCCTTATCTGTGGGACACTTTAGGCCACCCTTCCTGTTCTGTATAGTTGCCCCTAGGCTGTCTGCTCATGGCCACACTTTCACCTCTCCCTTATTTGATCCCACGAAACTGTCACATTGAATCCATCTTATAATTACTCTCCGGAGTACCGTCAGCTACCATTATAGCGCTCTTCGGGCTCTCAAATCGTGCTTTGTTTGTGCCATTCGGCTCGGCTCTGTGGGGCTGTAAGCAATAAAGCAGAAGGATCCTCTAGCTCTTCACTTCTCCCACACGCAGGGCTTCCTGCCAGCAGCCTCGTCCACACCAGCTTTTCATCCGAACAAAACCCTGTCCGGTGCTAAATATAACTTTATTTAACATAATTGTACAAGGTGCTTTCTACTTTTAAATCTAGACTGGTCATGGAGCGGGGACATTTACATAACAAGTCGGTGTCAGCCCTGTAACAAATCTTCTGATTTCCTTTATTGGACCAGTGAGGAAACTAAGGAACAGGGAGGTTTGCAACCCTGCTCCTGTCATACGGCTACTTAAATCCCAGGTATCCCAACTTCCGGTAGGTGCACTGTTCACTCCCACCCCCATGTCCAAGCGAACAGCCCAGTCCTTGGTCGTGGGCAAGGAGCCTCTGATCCCCTGCAAAGCCTGCTGGATTGTGGTATTTCCCCATGGAGAGCTCACCCACCAGACTTGGGGGGGAGTGCTCCCGCCATCTGGCTCACCAACCAGAGATCTCATCCAGTTTTCATATATATATATATATTTTTTTTTTTTTTTTTTTTTTTTTTTTTTTTGCCACTTCCCCCAACTGGAAGCTAGTCAGTTCTGAAGTGGTCCAGAGCTTTTCCCAGACCACAGACCTTCCAGGTGAAGCTGTGGGGCTCTCCTCCCGCCAGCTGCCAGGTACTGCCACATTCTGACTTAGTGGCAAATGCAGATGCCTTCAGGGGCCAGGGAAGTATGTCCCGTGTCAAGTGGCTGGTGTAGGGCTAAAGGCATGCCATGAGGGCGGGGGCTTCATCAATTTTCCACTTCATCCCAGCACCTGGAGCAGATTCTGCACACCATAGACCACCCCCAATAAAATGCATAGAAGGAACAGTGTGGGGATTGCAGAGAATTGGCAAATGTGTGTTTCGTGAAAGGCATTCTTGTCAAAAAGCACACCTCTGGGCAATATTTGGCTTCCAGCTCGCAACCCCTATGGTTGAACAAACAAGGCTATTTATGGATAGAATGAACAATGACTGCCAAGCAACAGGGATGCCCAGCTTATCACTTTGATGTGTTCAGTTGGAGTCAGGACATAGGACCTTTTTCAGCACCTCTTAAATCCTTTCCATTAATAACCCTGACCCTTTAATGACCCTGTCCTAATTGGAGACATGTGCAACTTTTCACACTTTCCCTTCTACTGTGCTGTGGTCTTTTTCTGAGTCTCTTAGTCACATGTCTTTCTTTTCAAAAAATGTACAAAGAACACCCTTTTTACCAAATAAGGGGCAGAGTTTCTAAACACAAACTTACATCCTGAGGGAATGATGACAAATCTGCTTTCATTCATACAACGTCACTTTTTCTGAAATGGACATAATAGTGGCAGCTGTTTTGTGCCAAAATGACTTTGCGCCCAATCCGTCTTCAAAATCCCAGTTCATCTTCACGATCCCACTCTGTCTTCACAATCCCAGTCCATCTTCACAATCCACCAGAGCAAGCCACAGAGTCCTGGAGAGCAGGGGACAGCCCCTGAAAGTTTCTCCTCAGGTGAAGCACTGACCCTGCCTGTTCCCAGTGACACTGACCTTATTCCACTGGGTCTGTGTCACTGTCCTTCCATCCCATTCTGCCGACACCCCAGACCCAATTGTCTGGGTTTGTAGCAAAGTCCCTTGAACCAAAAGGAGTGTGGTTCTTGGGTCAGTCAAGCAGCTGTTGTGGAGTAGACAGGCTGGATGGGGAGCCCTCTGAGCACACGTGCCCTAACCCTACAAAGGGTTGACAGATACAACACCATGTGCCTCAGCATGGAAGCCCAGAGCCAGCTTCTAGACTGTGGACTCAGCCTTTGACTTGTCACTTAAACACATCGATTCCCTAGTGAATTGGGAAGGGTATCAAAAGCATCCTCTAGCAAGTAGAATCTACTTGGAGGAAAAGACTTTGCAAAATCAAGCCATAGCCATCATTAATATTTTGGCCAGGATAAATGAGTGAGAAAGATACCTTAGAAGGTTCCAAAGGCATTAAAACTGGTAAATGGTAAACACACACACACACACACACACTGGTAAATGGTAAACACACACACACACACACACACACACCCTGGTCAGCAATAGGCAATATTTGGCTTCCAGTTTACAAACCCTTTGATAGGATAAATAAACTTGGTTCTAGATAGAAACCATTGCCATCCAGAAACATTGAACTCCAGCTTATTGCTTATGTTCTATATCCCAATGAACTCAAAGATGCAGATAATTTTTTGTGGTTGCAATGCCTCTTTCCATCAATGACCTTGGCCCAGATCTGAACTGATTGTAATTTTCAGCCCTGAATGTAAAAGCTTGTGTCAGTGAGGAATATATTCAGCTACAAATAACAGAAAGTCTGGCGAACAGTGGCTTCAGTGGTAGGGGACTATTTTTCTCATGTAACAAGATGTTCAGAGGCAAGGGGTGAGTCACAGTGGTTCAGCTGATCTGCAGCTCTCTGGGCCAGGCTCTTTCAGGCTTTCTGACCCACCTTACTCAGCATTTTGGTATTCGTCACAACTGAACAGACAGGAGTGGGAAGGAGAGCATCAGCTGGATCTATTCACCTGGTTAGGAAAACAAAAGCTTTCATCAAGACCTCTGGGCAGGCTTTCCTGTGAGGCTCACTGGTCAGAACTGTGTCGCATGACTGCCCTGGCAGTGAAGGAGGAGGGAAATAGAGTGTTTCTCCTTTCAGCCTCTATGGTCAAGCAGAGCAAAGGGAGAATGGGCTTGAGAACAGGTGTGTGGGAGCTAAACACACAGGGGCTACGGACACACTGCAGGGAATCTTCCAACAGACTCACTGTACAGATGACGAAGCTGAGTTCCAGGAGTACACAGTAACTGGGTCAAGATCCCATCATTAAATGAAGTTAGAGCCAGATCTAGAACCCAGGTCTCATAATGCCCAGTCCAGGAAGCTCCCTACTGGACCAGCCATGGATGTAGTCTGACAAAGTCTGTGACTGAAGCTCTGTTGAGGAAGTAGAATATCATCCAGAAAATGAGGTGTGGCTATAAAACCAGCAGCAGTGGGCAGGAGATGGAGTAGCCTCCCCTTGAGGTCTCCTTCCCTGGAGGGGAAGGACAGTGAAGGGACAGAATCAAATAATTCAGTGTGAGTCCCAGAAGCTAGGCCACGTCAAATCAGGCCTCCTCCAGGTGCTCCTGCTGGGTAGATTTTTTAGCTTCTTGTTCCTTTGGCACATCGATGTTCGTGTGTGTTATAATGGAATCAGTCTCATGATGAGCACCATGATGATGCAGAATTTCCATGTCAGTGTTAATGTGCTGTTCTTGTCTTCTGTCCCCTTCTGTTATTGGACCAAACAGAAGTATTCTGCTGTTTCTCTCTGCAACATCTCCACAGAAGTCCTGAAAGTCATCAATGCCACAGAGGAGCTGATAGCAGAGTCCACAGGGCCCTGGGAGTTCTTACCTGTCCCTCCCGACAGAGAGAAGGGGACATTTCCTCTCGGGACAGACCAAGCGAGACTGGATGAGCAGCTGACTTCTCTGGAAGAAAACGTAAGACAGTGGGGATGTTCCCTGTCTAGGGCAAGCAGGTGCAAAGAAGAAACTGATGAAGGTGTAACCCATCACGAACAGTGCAAGGACCATACACACCACCACCACAGCCGATATATTCTCAGGGAGGGGCTCGGGCTGGGTTCTCCAGAAGCAGACCCTGAAGTGAGGGTTTGCCTGCAAGTGATTTCTTAGGGAAGTGCTCCCCCAGGGAGGCTGGTCAGGGAATGGGGAAAGACAGGGGGAAGGGAAGAAGTCAAGTGAAGGTGTGACCTTTTTTTTTTTTTTAAGATTTTATCTATCCATTTGACACAGAGAGGGGCGGAGGAACGCACAAGCAGGGGGAGAGGCAGAGGGAGAGGGAGAAGCAGGCTCCCTGCTGAGCAGGGAGCCCAACACCGGGCTCAATCCCAGGAGCCTGGGATCATGACCTGAGGTGAAGGCAGACGCTTAACTAACTGAGCCACTCAGGGGCCCCAACAAAGGTGTGACCTTAGACAAAGAGTATCTTTGACCTGATCCTGCAGGAAGCTCTGCGGTATCAGTTGCATCTCAGGGTTGTCCTGACCTGAGGCAAAGGAACTGGCCTTTCCTATAGCCAGCAGACTCTTCGTCTCTACAAGCAAGCGAAGTGTCTATAGGATCCCCAAGCAGTCCTCTGTACAGCTGAGCCTGGGAACAAAAGCACACTGAAGCTTGAGGGGTGGGAGATGCAGGAACTGTATCCCGTGGGGATCCAGGTGGAACACTGCCACAGGGAAAGGGGGTGGTTGCCAACAGAATGTAGGTCACAAATGGTCTACCCTGCTTCCAGACTTGTGTGCTGGTAGTGGATTTTTCTAGCCTGACTTGGGAGGACAGAAAGGAGGTACCAGATTCTTACATATCAATATCCACACTCATTGTTGAGTGTTTTAATAAATTCCTGATGAGAATTTTCCAACACCGCAGACTAGGGGGTGACACAGAGATTGGGACATTAGCCACTCGGGCCATAGTCACTGTCACCAGGGGGCATAGTTCTGCCCATGGAAGTGATATCAAATCAGGGGGTTCCATCTTTCCAGAGCCAGCAGAATCAACCCTGATTGTGGGATGCTGTCATGAACACAGTTCTCAGAAATCAGGAACTGTTAGTAGAGGCAATTCTTGCAAAAAGTTGAAACAACAACAAATCAAAAACGACTCAAGGTTTTAAAAAAAATGCCAGTTGTTGCTTTATCTTAAAAGTTAAAGACTCTCTCCCTTGGAATTCCCATAAAACCTAAGTAGAGGTCCATCTGCCCCTTACCTCATTTTGCTGCCCTTTCTGTCCACTCATCTGTCCCCATTAGATTGGCACCATTGACATTTTGGGTTCGATAATTCTTTGTTGTGGGGGGTGAAGGATGTTCAGCAGCATCCCTGACCTCTGCCCATGAGATGCCAGTGACATCAAAATGTGACAGTCAGGGAGCCTGGGTGGCTCAGTCGGTTTGGTGTCTGCCTTCGGCTCAGGTCACGATCCCAGAGTCCTGGGATCGAGTCCCACGGTGGGCTCCCAGCTTTGGGGGGAGTCTGCTTCTCCCTCTGCTCCTCCTCCCACTCGTTCTCTCAATCTCTCTCTCAAATAAATAAATTCTTTAAAAGAAAAGAAAATGTTTAAAAAAATGTGACAATCAAAATGTGCCCAGATGTTGTCAAATATTGGAGGGGGAGATGCAGGGAGGCAGGAACCCAGTCACCCCCAGATTAAGGATCAGATGTATGAATACCTGCAGAACACGGTCTTTCACATGAGTAGCCCCAGCCCTTGCCCAGAGCTTGACAAAGAGGTGCTCGAAGAATGTTTACCTGATATATGATTCAGATGAATGAAGCCCTTTACTTAGGAAGAAATGTTTTATTGCTCATGTAGAGGGTCTCTGTTCTTTAAAGATGTCTACAATATAGTTCTTTCAGTGCTGATAGTCCTAAAATGGCCTTAATCCTGGACACACAGAATGGAAAAAGTTAAAGTCAAGATATGGTTCACCAGGGGGCGCCTGGGTGGCTCAGTTGGTTAAGCGACTGCCTTCGGCTCAGGTCATGATCCCAGAGTCCTGGGATCGAATCCCACATCGGGCTCCCGGCTCAGCGGGGAGCCTGCTTCTCCCTCTGACCCTCTCCTCTCTCACGCTGTTTCTCTCTCGCTCGCTCTCTAACAAATAAATAAATAAAATCTTAAAAAAAAAAAAAAAGGTATGGTTCACCAGGAAAGGAGTGTTTTTGTTTTACCAAGTAATTGTATTAAAAAAAAAAACAACATACAGTACGTGAAATACTCACATTAAGTGGGTTCCCAGGGCACACTTAAAGCAAAGACAACATGCCTTTTTTTCCTGCAAGGGGCATGTTGAAAAATGCAATAGCTTTGTGGGCAGTTTTCATTTTGTAAGATCCTTTTATTATCCACTACGTTTCTTTCCTTGGGTTCCTTAACCTTTTCAGGTCGAAACACATCCACTTACCCGCTGATGTGAGATGTCAGAAACCCCAGCAGGGACCTGCGCTCTAAGGAGGTGGGGTGGGGGGCGGGCGGTTATAATTCCCTGTTCCCGGTCAGGCCTGGGAGATGCCTCGCCTGATCCCCAAAGAGTTAACTGCTTCTTCCCCTCCTCCCCTCCCCCTTCCAGCTTTTCAAATTGCACCTCGGAAGAGACTCCATCTACGTTCCTTTGAATTCTAGGGGTTTTGAGTCAGAGAAGGGATGACTCTTCTCTTTATCTCCTTAGAGAGAAAGATCACAGAGCCCTGGGGCTGGTTTCGCTCTGCGGTTTCCAGGATGGAATTCAGCTGAGCAGCCCAGGGGCGGGGCTGATTCTTAAACTGGCCTCTGGGTGCAGCTGATTTAATTAAACCGGGTTTTTTTTTTTTTGTCTGTCTGTGTTCTAAAGGGCTCTCCTTCGTTTTTCTCCGCTGCCTTGCTCCTTTGTGCCGAGGAGCAGGGAATGTCAGAAATAGAAACGGAGATACTTATTCTCACCTTCTGAACAGTGGGTACCACAGAGTTTCAGGAAGGGACTATTCCCTGAGGTGTGGGTATGGTTCAGGGATGCTGTAGCACCCAGAGAGTGGCAGTCGGGGTTGGCGGGGTGGGGGAGAGTGGTCCCCACCCCTGGACAGTGTAATCCATGGAGAGCTGGAGCCTGGAGGAGCGCCCCCTAGTGGGAGCAGTCACCGTGCAGCCCGCACAGGGAGAGAGAGCGGGGCAGGGAGACTAACTTCCCTCTCCTCCTGCCTTTGATCCCCTGCTGGTTGTCTCCCATTGGCCAAACCCATCCCAGCCAGCAAGGGAGCCTGGGTGATGAGGTTCAGACAGGTCAGCCTCACAGAGAACAGGGCGGGGCAGAGGAGGGTGGAAGATGGATCTAGGGATCAAGAGAACCACTGGCAGACCATTCTCAGACCCGTGGTGTGAGGAGTAGGGACCCACAGAGGCCACCTTGTGGATTTATGCAGGGTTATGAGTGGGAGGAATGAGTCGGCTCCCTCACACCCCCACCACCCCCATCGGAGGACCTTCCTCCTTCTCTTCTTTGCTAAATGACCGACAGCCTGGGGCACCCCGTAGTTCCCAGCACAGAGGTAGTGCAGGGACAGCCCCAACTTCCCTTTTAGCATTGCCCTGTAACTTTTGGCAACACCAAATCCCATGGTGTCTATGGTGGCAGCAGACACAGTAGAACTGCCCCATGAGGGGGCCCAGCTCTGCCACAGAATCTGGGAGCAGGCAGAGGATGTTGGTCCTCCTTCTCAAGGCTTTCGGCACCCCCGTGGCACAGGAGAGGACGTGGAGATGGGCTACTTCAGTGGTCCTCTGCCTTTAAGAGCAAGCAAAGAAATGCTATATTACTGTCCAGATGTGGTCCTCCAAAATGTGTTTCATAGGAGGCAAGTCCGACAGGGATGCTATAAAATCAAATCAGTTTCAGCAATCTGTATGGTCTTTCTAGGAAAACTGAGAGACGTGTTAGCACATTAAAGACTCTGAGAAGTCCTGCAGCGAAGAAATCTGTTTAATTCTCTTTACCCTAAAGGCTTTGACCACAAAGTCCTTCCTTAATGAAACACCTGTTCTAGTCCCTTGAACCACTTTGAGGAAGGTGAGTTGAACCAGGAGCCAGTCCATGGGGTCATGGGCATCAGTGGCTGGAGCTTGGAGAAGACCTAACTTACACAGACATGGTAGCCATGGTTCTCGCCAAAAGGGGCCTTTACTCAGCCAGCAATTCCAGGTTAATGGTTTTCAAATGGATTGTGTTTTAAGACTAGAATAACATTCCATTATTATAGCTTGTTAACTTGTGTTATTTCACCCCCAGCAACAGAACCAATGTCAGGTTGATCTATAACCACAATAACTCGAGTACCATCAGGTCAGAGTTTCAAATGTAAAAGGTCATAACGGTGCAAGCAAGATTAAGTATCAGGGCATCACAGGGCAGGATGGATAAAGTCATGGGATCTGACATCAGCCCCAAGAGCTCAAATCCCAACTCCGTCACTTCCCAGCTTCGAGGGCTGGGGAAGTCACTCACCCTCCAGGACCTAACGTTCTCCTCTTTAAGATGATGGCTATAGTAACGCCCCCCTCAGGGATTGCCACGAGCAAGGGAAACTTCCCTTCCCGCCTGGTGCCAGGAAAGCAGGCTTTCAGCGAACACGGAGTCAAAGAGGAACATTCTGGCCTTGCTGAGGGCTTGGAACTAGTTCATATTGCTTAGATTTGGCAGAGAAAGCAAAGAACATTAGCAGATGACTACGTTGAAGACAAAACAAGAGACTGTTA